CCTTTCGACCGGACAAGCACTGCACTAACTGCATGCTGAGAAACCGCCAGATAAAGGTAAAGTTCCTCGCCAGGCTTCGGTGTTACCAACAATGGGGCTGAAGACAGATACTCCTTGAGCTCAGCCAAAGCCCGGTCACATTCTTCATCCCATGAGAACTTTGACTTCAAAGCTTAAAAGAAAGGGCGGCAGCGATCTGATGACCGACTAATGAATCGGTTAAGCGCGGCGGTCATTCCGGCCAGATGCTGCACGTCCTTAGCCGAGCTTGGCTGCTTTAATTCTTGTATGGCTCTGATTTGTGTGGGGTTCACCTCGATGCCTCGGTTTGTGACTAGGAAGCCTAAGAATTTTTTGGATCCCACGCCAAAGGCACACTTGGACGCATTCAGGCGTAGCTTGTGTCGTTTAAGAATGGCGAATGTCTCAGCCAAGTCGGACAAGTGGTCTGTTTGATGCCGGCTTTTGACCACCATATCATCAATATAATCCTTCATTGTCCGATCTAGCAGGGGAGCGAACATCTTGGTCACCATCCTTTGAAAAGTTGCCCGACGTTCTTCAAACCAAAAGGCATGACTCGGTAGCAGAAGAGTCCCCTTGGAGTAGTGAAAGAGGTGATCTCACGGTCGGGGCCATGCATGGCAATCTGATGATAGCCACGGTAGGCATCCAAAAAACTGAGTCTGTTATGTCCAGCCGTTAGATCGACAAGCTGGTCTATTCTGGGCAGAGGAAAGCTGTCTTTAGGGCAAGCTCGGTTGACGGTCTTGTAGTCAACGCAAACTCGCCACTTCCTATTCTTCTTAGGTACAACGACCGTGTTTGAAATCCACCGAGGGTAGTGCACTTCCTAAATAGCTCGTGCCTCAAGCAAGTTCTTCACCTCTTCTGCAACTACCTCGGCATGGTGTAGCGTCAATCTCCTCGTTCTCTAAATGACCGGCTTTGCCCCGGGGAAAACATTGAGGTGGTGGAAAATAAAGCTCGGATCGATGCTGGGCATGTCGTAAGGTGACCATGCGAAGACTTCGATATTTGCCATCAAAAATTCCACCATCTCGGTCCTTTCTTGGGCGGTAAGGCTTGATCCGAGCAAAAAGAACTTGTTCAGGCTCTCTGTGTCAATCCGCACTTCCACCAACTCTTCAACGGCTTTATCCTTAGCCTTGGTGCCCACGTCGTCAAGGACTCCCCGGTCTTCCGGTCCTTCAATCATTTGGACGAAGCCTTTGGCAGCTCGGCTCCCGTTCACTGCCACGAAGCACTGCTTTGACATGACCTAATCGCCCCAAACTTCCTCAATTGCCCCCATAGTCGAGGGAAATCTCATCACCCGATGGTAGGTCGACGCTACGGCTTGCATAGCGTGAAGCCATCCCCTTCCAAGGATCAGGTTATATGTAGACGTTGCAATACCCAGAACTCCACTTGCTTGACCACGGATCCCGCTTTGACTGGCAGAATAATTTTTCCCAAAGGCCACTCCGGTTGCGAGTTGAAACCAACCAGTGGCGAAGTTGCCGGTGCCAAGTCTGTATCTCGGAGTTTGAGCTGTTTGAACGCGTCGTAATACATGATCTCGACCGAGCTTCCCTGGTCGATCAAGATGTGGTTGACATCAAATTCCTTGACGCGGAGTGTGACCAAGAAGGCATCGTTGTGCGGCGACTGAATGCACTCTAAGTCCCTTGTAGAGAAACTGATCACGTCTTTCTCGTCGGTCTTCCCCCTCTTGATCGCGAGCTAGACTGACAAAACTTCCCTCATGTGTTCTGCCTTCTTGATCATACATCGGAGCTCGCATACACGGCCGGCTCCACTATGCCGTGGATGACATTAACAACTCCTTATGGGGGTGCCTCCTGGTCATCCGGTCCACGCGGGTCAACCGGGGCTTGATGTACGGCCTTCACACCCCCATCAATGTAAAGGTCCAAGTGTCCGGCTGCGACTAGCTCCTTCAAGTGTTGCTTCAGAGGCAAACAGTCCTCTGTCCGGTGTCCGCGCTCCCAATGGAATATGCAGCGGTACTGCAGATTGAAGCCTTTTTGCGCATCGCCTAACTTAGCAGGAAACCGGACATAATCCTCGCCACGGATTTCACTAAGTATGCGATAGATTAGAATCTTAAAAACTGTGGTGACACTCGTCCGAGCTTTCAACCTTCTGTTTGTGTCAGCTACGTCATCGCGGGGGTATTCATCTCGGTCATTCCGCCAACCCCTACCCCGGTTTTGACGATTTAAACCTCGGTTAGATTCCTCGATCATTTGAACGGTTGGTCTCCTGTCCGACCGCGTGCACCTTGCCAGCCGACCTCTTGTCTATTGCTACCGGAGTTGCCTTCACGGTAAATGTTGCCGCATCATCTTCTACTCGGATGTGCTCGTTGATGCGCTGTATTAGTTGGCCCATGGATGTCGGCTGGTGCATGGTAAGCGAGTCCCGCAGTCTATGTCCGACCGGGAGACCACGCTTATATTGTGTAATTGCCAGGTTAATTGGGAAATCCAAGATCTCATTGAAGGTTTCCCAGTATCTGGAGTTGTATGCCTTGAGTGTGTCGCTCGGCTCCATTTTGACACTAAGAAGGTGGTCAACTTCCTTTGGCGCTCTGGTGTTGGTTTTGAAACGCGTCACAAAGGCTTCCGCCAACTGCTGCCACCTTTCGATGCTCCCCTCCGGCAGCCTCTCAAACCATTTCAAGCCCAACTCGCCCAAACTTGACGAGAAGATAAGGCACATAAGAGCGTCATTCTGTCTATGTCCGGCCATGACCTGTCGAAAGTGGCATACATGCATGTATGGATCGGTCTTTCCGTCTTAGAGCGTGAACTTTGGCTGGTGGAAACCTGCGGGAAGTGGTGTTGTTTCTATCTCCAGAGAGAAAGGAGTGGCGGGCAGCCTCGCCAAATCCGTGTCTGGAAGAGGAGGCACAGCAAGGCGGGGTGGAGGCATTATGACCTCTTCACTGGTGCGACCCCCATAGGATAACCGCTGGAATGCCGGCACCCTCTGAGTCTCCCGCCGGCGAGCCTGCTCCTTCAAGACTGCCCGCAAATCCTCTGAACGAGCGGAGTAGGAGTACCTGACGTCGTCATCGGACGTGAGGGTTGGTAAGTGCTATCATGCGCGCTAGATTTCTCTACGGGCACGTCGGAATCTCCAACCTTCTAACATCTGGTGATTGTGAGGGACGGAGTGTGCCACTGGCTCTGACTGCCTGAACGGCGGGGTTGGGTGCACTCACTGTGGTCTCCCCCTCCAGCTACACCCTTCCCTTTGACACGTCGCTTAAGATCCTCCATCTTCGCCGCTATTCTCCGGATGACGACGTCTTGGTCCCTTAGCTTGTGTTCCAAACGTTTGGCGTGCGATTCTCTCCGCCGTTTGTGACTGTCTGGACTCCAAGAGTGGAATGTGCAGCGGTACCGCGGATTGAAGCCTTTTTGCGCATCGCCTAACTTAGCAGGAAACCGGACATAATCCTCGCCACGGATTTCACTAAGTATGCGATAGATTAGAATCTTAAAGACTGTGGTGACACTCGTCCGAGCTTTCAACCTTCTGTTTGTGTCAGCTACGTCATCGCGGGGGTATTCATCTCGGTCATTCCGCCGACCCCTACCCCGGTTTCGACGATTTGAACCTCGGTTAGATTCCTCGGCGCGATCATTTGAACGGTTGGTCTCCTGTCCGACTACGTGCACCTTGCCAGCCGACCTCTTGTCTGTTGCTACCGGAGTTGCCTTCACGGTAAATGCTGCCGCATCATCTTCTACTCGGATGTGCTCATTGATGCACTGTATTAGTTGGCCCATGGATGTCGGCTGGTGCATGGTAAGCAATTCCCGCAATTTATGTCCGACCGGGAGACCACGCTTATATTGTGTAATTGCCAAGTTAATTGGGAAATCCAAGATCTCTTTGAAGGTTTCCCAGTATCTGGAGTTGTATGCCTTGAGTGTGTCGCTCGGCTCCATCTTGACACTAAGAAGGTGGTCAACTTCCTTTGGCGCTCTGGTGTTGGTTTTGAAACGCGTCACAAAGGCTTCCGCCAACTGCTGCCACCTTTCGATGCTCCCCTCCGGCAGCCTCTCAAACCATTTCAAGCCCAGCTCGCCCAAACTTGACGAGAAGATAAGGCACATAAGAGCGTCATTCTGTCTATGTCCGGCCATGACCTGTCAGAAGTGGCATACATGCATGTATGGATCGGTCTTTCCGTCTTAGAGCGTGAACTTTGGCTGGTGGAAGCCTGCGGAAAGTGGTGTTGTTTCTATCTCCAGAGAGAAAGGAGTGGCGCGCAGCCTCGCCAAATCCGTGTCTGGAAGAGGAGGCACAGCAAGGCGGGGTGGAGGCATTATGACCTCTTCACTGGCGCGACCCCCATAGGATAACCGCTGGAATGCCGGCACCCTCTGAGTCTCCCGCCGGCGAGCCCGCTCCTTCAAGACTGCCCGCAAATCCTCTGAACGAGCGGAGTAGGAGTACCTTGACGTCATCATCGGACGTGAGGGTTGGTAAGTGCTATCATGCGCGCTAGATTTCTCTACGGGCACGTCGAAATCTCCAACCTTCTAACATCTGGTGATTGTGAGGGACGGAGTGTGCCACTGGCTCTGACTGCCTGAACGGAGGGGTTGGGTGCGCTCACTGTGGTCTCCCACTCTAGCTACACCCTTCCCTTTGACATGCCGCTTAAGATCCACCATCTCCGCCGCCATTCTCCGGATGACGGCGTCTTGGTCCCTTAGCTTGTGTTCCAAACGTTTGGCGTGCGATTCTCTCCGCCGTTTGTGACTGTCTGGACTCCAAGAATGACTAAAGCTTCTTCCGCGCTTATCCCGCGCGTCTCCTGAATGTCCTCCTAGAGAAGTCTCCAGGTCCGCCATCAGAGGATTGGCAGGGTGTCCTTCTCTTCGTCTAGCTGACTCCGGGCTAACTCCGTCAATGGCGGACAACGGAATCGCTTCGTTGTTCGCCATGGACGGCGATCAGATGAGTTGGGAATATAAGGTTTTGTCTATCAACTTCCCATAGACGGTGCCAATATCATATACATCATTAAAGCTTAGAAAAGCAATGAAGGCAACCACAGGACAAAATGCACTATATATATCAGATAGCTCATTTACCTTGGCAAGGAAACCAAATTGACCAAGCATACGAGTGCTTACAATATCCAACATGGTCACATTCCGTTTCACGACAATGCTAGTTAGTACTGCCTGGAATTGGAATTGTGCATAATTTAAGCTGTTTAAAGTTTTCTATAAAATAATCAGTTTCATTTCTGCAGAGTTTCATGCTACAAACCTTACTCATATCTCTTGTTCTGGTGATGAGTGTACCTGGAGCCTTAGGATTGTAAGAATTCTTAACCCTAACAGGAATATCACCGGTTCTTGCTGGCCCCATGGACTGTGGATGCAGGACCTGTAAAAGCACAACAACAATGCATCTAGCAAACTCATTTCATTTATCACCCAATGGAATTTATCAAGCAACTTCCAATTTTGTCAAATTCTGCCAACTAGCAAGTATTTGGGATGCATTATGGATTTACAAACATGTCAACTATACCAAATTGGCATAATAAAAAATACTATTACTAAAAAACAACGCCCAATTAATACACATTAATGTGTGTTTGGAAGGGAAAAAATTGGATACACACCTAACCATTGACATAGTACACAAAGTGGTTGCCTCCAGACTTGAACCCATAACCTCAAAAATACTATTACAAAAAATAAATATTTGAGAAATTAGAGAAATAATGAAATGCTCAGTGAGAAATATTTCATAGCTACTAGCTAGCACTTCGTAAAACACAATGTAATTGCCCAGTCTGACTCGTTATCGGCAATCAAAAGTCTACAGTTTATATGGTAAAAAAAAGGAAACCAGATTTTTATTGCCAGTAAAGAATTATGGTCAAGTTAGGAGCTGACTTCCACAGTTATTAAATTTTATTAAAGTTGCATAAAATACAACTAGATGTAGATTAAGAGAACAGGAATGAATAATGCTGAGGATATATTTTGAACTAAAACTTGATGGTTGTTTCCAGATAATTGGCATCTAGTTTTTTCTTATTTCTTAGACTTTTTTTCTCTTGTTTTCGCTGGTTAAGTTTATTCCTCATACTCTGGGTGAGAACTTGGACAATTAAATCAAATTATCAAGCCGGAACCATATTCGGAAAGCCCCTACCAAGAAGATTCAGCTGAAAACTCAGCCAGTGTGACGAGTTCAGAACAGGCCAAACATGAAAAATAACCTAACATAAAAATAAAACATTGCGTGCAAGAGCAAATTACAAGAAGAGCCTGGGCCAGAAAATTGTATACCAACAATGATGTTTTCTGATAGTCCAATAAAAGGTAGAAGGCCATTAAATGATTACCTGAGCACCAAAATACGCAAGCTCTGCTGCCTCTTCAAATGTTAGATGTGGCACGGGTTCTGCGAGTGGATATATATTAGGATCACATGTCAAAACACCATCAACATCCTTCCGCACCTGAAAATGTTTGAAAAATAGGCTTTTATTTGTCAAGAAACATCGTACTATGGATATTCTAGAATCTGAAAGAAATTTTCATACAACTTGAGCTCACAAGAAAACACTTTCACACATTGTTCCATACATGTTCATATGCTCACATACTAGTTAATTATGTTCATGTACTTTTGACATATATTTAGTGTAAACAGTGACATGAATTCTTGCAACCCAAGTGCTTTACCAATGGTTGTGGCGGTCAAATCACTACCACCCCTACCCAATGTAGTCACTGCACAAGATCTCCAGCCCTGCAATCATAATGGTTAAAGAATATCATTACTACAATCCCTCATATGGACAAGTTTCAGGCAGATAATGACTCCTTCAAAGTAGAAAGCTATAATGGAATTGGAGGCAGGAGGACCTTTCCAAGGTAGCCAATAACAATAGGAATTACAAGATCACTAATCCAATCGCTGTGTAACCTCTTCGCAACAGCTGGATAAGTTGCTTCCAGAATATCTGCATTTGTGAAGTCATCTGTTGTTATGAAACCAATATCAAATGCATCATACTGCAAAATGATAGTGTCATAATTAGTCATGATCAGAGAAATCATTAACAAGGCACTTAAAAGTACAACAAACATTTTAACCAGCAGGAAGAGCAATAGAAAAATGTCAATATTACATGTGTTAAATAATACTGAAATTATTTAACCAATTATCTAAAAGTTTAACGGAATGAAGTAACTAGAAATGACAGCCTTCCAATAGAGTTTGTTATACCAAAAAGAACAACTTTCCAGGATGGTTCATTAGAGACGTTTCATTGAGGTAAGACTATTGCCTTTGCTGCCAATATGGCTTTCATTAAACAAACAAGAAGTAATCATCAATATCTTGCCTTTGTTGCTTACCAAAAATCATAGCAAACAGACAATTAATCACAGAAGATTTAGGTATTCTTCATGCTGAAAGATTGAATGCAGCAGCTTTAGATGTAACATGTTATGCATAATAGATTGATAATATGGTATCAAGAAGATCAAGCCTGCTCAGACAATGACATACATGCACAAGCGACATCCCAATAGACAAATTTACAACATAATTCTTCATTGGAACTCAAGAAATCAATAAACATGCAAGAAGAAGAAACAGATTCAAATGCAACACAATTTACAGTTGTAAAAACCAATCACAATATTAAAAACATACATAGCCCTTTCCATTTTTGTATCACACATAATCTTTTCCCTTTTGGTTTAACTAAACCCGTCTCGTATAAGGACAAGCAAAAATTGTCAATTAATACCAGGCTTATATATAAGTCTACCTCAAATTTAATATAAGGGGATTAAGCAAGTACTAAAACATCGCTTAAAAAATAATAATAATAATAAAGTAGGAGATATTGAAGGGACTTTCACATAAAATCAGAAAATCATAGTGTTTGACCATAAATTAACATAATACGAAAATCATAGGCCTAGCAGCATTGTTCAGTATGGAATTGCTTCATTATTTCATTGGCCATTGAAGAATACAAATTTTCATAAACCAGAGAGTCCTAGATAATGATCAGAAGACAAATACCTGGCGAGCTTTAACACCAATTTTATTTAAATATGCAGCAAAAATTCTTGTTGACATGCACTTCCCAAATGAGACTAAGTAGTCTTTTGTGCATGAAGTCAACTCTTTGACTTGAGCAATTGCCTTCAGAAGTTGATCCAATTCATCTAGGTGTGCTGTAAAATATTTTCACAAACAAAACCTGACAAACCAAACATACATAAGCATACATGAATGTCATCTGAACAGGCATGTGGACCAGGAACAAAATTTATTTTATAGCCAGTAAATAGATATTGGGCAAATCAAAAGTCATCATTAAAATGGAAAATGTTAGTATTTAATAGAATTGACATTAGGTTATCAATGTCGTCTTATTTTTATAAATGGCTATACCTCAGTGCACTTGTTTTAGTGGTGAGATCTATTATTACAGAACCAGTAGAAGAGATCAATAAAGCTAGCATATTCGTCCGTTGAAGAATAGCTCCCTAGACAAAAATTTGAACCACTTGTTTTTTAACCATTTAGTTTTCAATTTTCAGTTTATATTTACCAAAATTTTAAAAACTATTGTAAAAACTTGTTTGATAAATTTTTTGGTTTATAAATAATTCGTCTCAGTTTGTAAATTTGACAAAAAATTGTAAACTCAAAAAATGAGTTTGCGCTAGTTTTTAAACTCAAAAAACGCGGAGCTACAGTAAATCAAACCATACTCTCTCTCTCCGCAGCTCTTCTCTCCCTCCCTTTCTCACCACCGCTTCCCATTACCCTCCACCGCTCTACCACCACAGTTTCTCTCTCTCTCTCTTCTTTCTCCTCTCTACCTCCATTAACGTTGACACCACCATAACTCTAATGCCACCGTCGACCGCGTCTTCTCCATCGACTACACTGTCGTCGGTCGCTCTCTTCTCCTATGCCTCGCTCTCTCTCTCTCTCTCTCTCTCTCTCTATTCTAAACACCCACCGCACCACCTCTCTCTCTTCAAATCTAGACTCTACCGCCTCAAATCTGGACTCCATCGTCACTTCAGATCTCTCATCCTCCATGCTCAACTCCACCGCGGATGAATGATGAATCTTAGAGCTCGGAAAGCCACAGCTCTATATCGATCACTGCAGCTCCACATACATCACCGCAGCTCCAGATTCGTTGCTCTTCTAAGGCTTTGATGGGGTTAGAGTCTGATCGGGAAGAGATGAGGATGAGAACGACGGAGGACAAGGCGGTCTGCGGCGGAACCGGGCGTGATTGGTTTGGTTCAACAAAGGGATGACTTTTTTGAACTTAGAAAGAGTGAAATCGATTGGGTTTGTATTGCTATTGTTGGTGTTTTGATCTTGCATTAGATCTCTAATGTATGTATACACCATTGTTGATTTTTTGATCTCTAATGTATGATCCCATTGTCATAAATAATAAAACATAAATATAAATATTTTAGGCCTTAACAAACATGTTTTTTAGTTTATGTTTTTAAAATTATTTAAACATTTTGTTCAAATCAAACACGTTTGTAGTTTATGTTTTTCTAAAATAAACAAAAATCAATTTTTAAAATTTATGTAAACATAAATAAAAACCGTAAACATTACCAAGCGCTACCTTCACATTATTGTGAAGCAGTTTTAAATTACTATCAAGCAAGAACCTATTCTCTACTGCTAACACATCAACAATTGAATTTTGGAATACTATTTGTGCACTTTAATTTTCCCAAAGGTGAAGTGACTAAAATGTTCTCCAAAGAAAAGTTATAGAATCTCTCCAGAGCTTGTAAGTGGTGACACTGGATTAATGAGAAGTTAGTATATTATAGTTTTTTTAGAAGAGAGAGTAAAAATATCAATGACTACATAACTCAAAAGAACTCATATCAACAAAGAACAACTAATTTTTTATTGGAAAATAGGAACTTACTAGAAACAATGAACTTGTCAATACCGCATTAATATCTTTTGTAATAAAAACTCTGATGAGTGAAAGTATGATCTTATGAATGGTTTATTGGTATCATATTTTGGGGGTGTGATAGTAACATTTTTTTTCTGTGTTTGGCATGTACATATTTTGAGATATGTTTTTCTTCTATAATATGAAGTTATTTATCTTTGCCAAATAAAAAAATCTGAATGAGTAACCTAACCTCGTAGCTTGGGGAGGGAGGGAGGCATGACTTCAAACTTCCATTCTAGGATCATTTCTTGAAATTGTAAGAATAGGAGCAAAGGAAAATTGTAATCAAACATCACAGCACCACCACCATATCTCTCTAAATTAGATACTACCAAAATCTCATTTCCATCCAAATTCAAAGTAACAAAAAAAATTACAAAACATCAGGTCTTTTTGCTCCAAATACTCAATTAAAAAACAAAACAAAACAAAACAAAACAAAACAAAAAATTAATTCTTCTTCTTATTGTTGTTGTTGTTGTTGAGAAGATCGTCAGGGACGACCTTGAGGAGCTTCTTGTGCTTAGATTTGGCAATCTTCTTGAGCGTCTTGGGATTAGTAATCTTCTGCAACTTGGTCCCAGATCTGAGAATGTTGTCTTGCTTCCTCTTGTCCCTCTCCTGTCGCTTCTTCCTCTTCTCCACCTTGTTGTGCCTGATCTCCTCCTTGAGCTCTGTTATTCTCTCGGTGTATGCCCTCTTGATCTTCTTCTGCTTCAACCTCTGCTCGTATGTGGTGTTCTTCCTAGTCATGTACACTGCCGACGCTCTGTGTGTCCTCAGCTGCTTCCACTTCCTCCCTGATACCTTCCCTGCTATTACTCCATCGTATGTAGGCTTTCCGAACACCATCGACTTGTCTGGGTTATCTGAAGATGACACTGCTTGTCTCTTTGACTGTGTCCCTTCTTCTTCTTCTTCTTCCTCTTCTTCTTCTACTTCCATGGAGGCATCGTCTTTGTCGTTGTTTTGAGATTGGATGGATCAATTTAGCTCTTCTTCGGCTTGCTTAGATCTTTTTCTCTTGTGTGTTTTGCCTCCAAATCCTTCATCCAGGCATCTGAAATTGATTGCGCACGCCATTTTTAAAACCATAACATTACCTCCCAACCCTAACTTGTTTGTTTCATTCATATTATATAGGGGGCGAAGCGGGGGGGTTTTCACATCCATGGCGCTGTTTGGGAAGCGTTTTTTTTTTTTTTTTGCTAAAACACACTAAAAGACAAAATTAGTTAAAAAATCAAAAGAAAGAAATCTAGACAAAATATCACATTAAATTCATAATCATTTTATTTTTTTCTCACAAACATCACATCCAACTACAAAAAAAAAACTCAACTATCTTTCCAAACACAAAAATTTTAACCTTCAAATCCTTCGTCCAGGCATCTGAAGTTGATTGTGCGTGCCATTCTTAAAACCTTAACGTTACCTCCCAACCCTAACTTGTTTGTTTCATTCATTATATAGGGGGGCGGAGAGGGGGGTTTCACATCCATTCTGGACCTACTACATCTCCGAGAGTTCACAACAAAAAAATGCGTCCAAGCGCATAACTCATGGATAGCACCCAAGCCCATACACCATACACCTTGGACACTCATACACAAAGTTTAAAATTTATTTAATTTTAAATAAAATATTTGCATCAATTAGACCTACTTATTTTTAATTGTTATCAAAAAAAAAAAAAATAACTATAAACACACTGTTACATCTCACCATCGTCGAACTTCCATCAAACGGTTACCGGAGACTCGCCGAAATATTTAACATCACCGGGGAAGTACGCCGGAATGTCCAGAATATTCGTTGAACGTCAAGAATATCATCAGAAACTGACCGGAATGTCCAGAATATTGTCCAAAAAAAAATAGAGAAATTATAGTGAAAAAAACATAGCAAAATGTTCCAAATATTGATAAACTGAAAGGAAAAAATAATAATAATAATAACAACAACAAACAACAATGGAAAAAAAGAATATATTATTTTTCAATTTTTGTAGTAATTTTTTCCAAATAATCTCTAATATTGATCAAACTGAAAAGTAAACTTTGAACTGTAAAATGTTACGGTTTCAAAACATGATTCTATTAAGTATTTATTATTATTAATCAAATTGAAAAACATGTTATGAAATTGTAAAATTTTACAATTTTAAAGAATGTCATGAAACTGTAAATTTTACAGTTTTAAAGTATGATTCATTTCAGTACAAAAAAAAACTGTAAAATTTTACAGTTTTCACCGCCTGTAACTAAAACTTAAAAATAATAGGTTCATAACTTAAAGATTTTCTCCATTAAAATAGGAAAATAGAAGTATATAGCAAAGAAAATGTAGAAAAATTGAGGAATCGAAGGAAAAAAACAGATATAAAGAGAATATTGTACTCCAGCAACTATTTTTGATTTAGATCTAGTCAGATCTCATGTAGATCTCAGATCTGAATAGATCTACTCATTTTCTTTACCGGAAACTCGTCTCTTTCGCCGTCGGTGAAGGTAAAGTAAGGAGTCGATATTCGATGGTTGCTGGTGAACTCCAAGCAATGATGGTCGTTGGTCACCCAATGACTTTATATTAGAGAGAGAAAGAGAAAAACCAAGGCATGTTGTCGGTCACCAAAAATCAGGAAGAGAAATAAGTAGATAAAAACATAGAGAAAAATGAAGAAGAAAAATATGTAGTGAACTTTTGAGAGAATTCAAAAGATTGTGAGACTACGGAGTTGTTTGACATTGGCTAATATAGTCAACTTTTTTAGATTGAGACTTTTTTAGTCTCGTTTGGTTTTTGTTTAAGGACTTTTTTTACTTTTGTGAGAGAAAAAATGTAATGATTATGGGTAAAAAATGATATTTTGGCCCCGTTTGGTAGAGCTGCGGGAAAGTGATTATACCTTATAGCTTAACAGCTTATAGCTTATAACTGTGAACATAAGCTGATTTTTGACTTATAAATTAAGCTTCCCCTCCCCCACTCAAAAAATAAGTTGATTTTTGACTTACAAAAAGTTATAAACTGTATTGTTAAACTGAACCAAACACATCAAAATAGCCTAAATTAAGCTAAAAGCTGAAATAAACTGGAAATAAACCCTACCAAACAATGCCTTTGTCTTATTGACTTATATAACTTATTTTTTTCTTTTTGTAGTTTTTTAATCCTAAATTGTTAGCCAAACGAGCACTAAATAAGCTTATCATCTTTTAAATAGAATTTCTAAGTAATTTACCCATTCACCTTCTGATCCAGTTAATACTAATAAAGCTTACCACATCTAGTTAATCACTAATTTTAGGATTGGTTTGGAGTGTCCTAAAAAAGTGCACTTTTTATCTTTTTACGAAAAGATATGCAGAAAAGTAGAGAGGTAATGTGATGGAAAAAAGATAAAAAAATGAATTATATAGTCTATGCCAAACCAGCCCTTAGTGATTTTACTAAACATGTCCAGGCAAGATGAAAATATATAGCTTTCTTACAAATAATGCATTTTAAATTCTCAAATTGCTCTGTGATTGGGGAACGAGGAAACAAAAACATGCGAGGAGCCAAAGCTTTTTCGTAAAGAAAAGTAAAACACAAAAATCGACGATAATCAGATAAAACTACCATCTCACAAGTGACGCTTATTTTTTTTATTTTTTGTGAATTACACACCTATATGAAAAGATTATTTCAATTCTATAATTAAATCTCGTTTGACAATGTCACTTTTTAACTTAGAGGTGTTTTAGAAAGTTAATAAAAAGTTGACTTTTGACTTTTTACCAAGTTTTTTAACTCTTTTGGAAGTGATTTGAAAAGTTAGTAAAAAATTGACTTTTTTGATTTTTGATTTAATATTTTTTAAAAGTGTCGCATCACTCTAAAATGACCAAAATATCCTTACTTTTTGATTTTTGAATTAATTAATTAAAATGTTCCAGAAGATAGTTTGATAAATTTGGGTGTTACTTTTTTGGGTCTTCCCAAATGAGATTTTCAATGTTTTGGGATGGTTTGACGTTTTTGAGCAGCACACAAAACACAGCTTTTGTGTGTATGTTGCCAAAACGACACTTAAAAGTTAAAAAATTATTAAAAAAATTAAAAAACCACCAACTTATATAAAAAACTCTTAATTTTTGCACATCTTTTCATAAAAAAATTAAAAAAATCATACCAAATATACTAATTTTTTCACATCATATTTTAATCAAAAAATTACTAAAAAAATATGTTCTCAAACGAAACCTTAGGCCTCGTTTGAGAACTGTCTCGTTTAGCCAAAAAGTCAAAAAATTACTAAAAAAGTCAAAAAACTAACAACCTATATTAAAAAGTCAAATATTCTCTTTTCTCTCTACTTTTTACACATCTTTTCTTAAAAAGTCAAAAAATCATCCCAAACATATTAATTTTTTTTAGCTCATATTTTAACCAAATAACCAAAAAATTAATAAATTAATTTTTTCCCAAACGAGACCTTAATTTATGTATGAGTAGAAGAACTGTTTAAACCAAACCAAAAGTAGCAAGATTTTTAATAGGATTTCATTACTCCGGACCCACTTCTATAATTCAAATAGTCCATGTTATAAATTTGTAGCCACAGGATCAAAACTATCTCTCTCTCTCTCTATTTCTTCTCTTCTCTCACTGTTTCTTTCCCCCGTTTCTCATCTTCTTCTTTCTTCGTTCCGCATCAATTTGGTATTACAGCACTATTATTGTGTGCTGCATCACCCACCAGTCACTGCTGATGACCAAATGAATTGTTTGAAGAAATGAAAAGAAAAAAAAACAAACAAACAAACTATTTGAAATAATATATATCTAGTTGCTTACCCCCCAAAAAAAAAAAAAAAAACTTTGATCTAGTTATGAAACAACCACAGGAATCTAAGACGTTGCAAGACATTAAATATGTCTGAGATCCATGAATAGTTCCCATACTACAGCTTAAACTACGGTAATAGTGAACCAGGCTTAAAATGTAACCATATCTAGAAAGACAACAATTATATTTGATCACGGTCCAGAAACCAGTCAACATCCATTTCGCAAAATTGGGACAGAAACATTCTGAGATCCACATTCCCGATCTACTTCGGAGATATCACTCCCAAAAAAGGCAGAGTGCAGAGCCCTCACACATTGTTCTGCTTCACTATCATGTACTATCAGTGAGATGTTAACCTGGTTGGCAACAACAACAACAACAACAACAAAAAAAAACAGATGTCTTAAACAGATGATGAAATAAAAACGTGTTGAAAATTATCTTCCACAAACTCAGGCCATTAAAACAACATTCAGTGATTGCATGTCTGCAGATACAACAATAAAATGGGTCCAACCTACAGTTAACAGATGAGAACAAAACACAGTTCTTGATAATCTGTTTTGCACACTCAACTTCAATGGAATGGTGGTGCTTGTTTGTGTTTCTTATATATTTGGATTCGTTTGTGTGTATAGTGAAAGCTGTCCAATCTCTTCAAATCAGATGGTTCATACTTATTGCCTCCGTACTTAAGAAATAAGTAGTTCTAGGTCTTGGATCGCTGAACATATGCCTAAAGGTCATGGTGCTTAAGACCTGTGCTTAGGTTCTGAAAACTAAATTACCCCACACACAAAAAAATACATGCAAGAGAACAGGATATGTAGTTATTATGTCTAGATACCTTGGATGCACCTTGAGATATCATCTGAACATTGACCCCATTGGCACGAAGAACACAAAAAGCCTGCCAGAAAATGCACCCAAGAAACAAGAATTGGTACCACAACCAAATAGTTATAAGCAAATGAGAAGCCAGATGAAGGTTGAATACATTTTCTTTGGAGTTCCCCCAGAAAAGGGTCAAGAGAGTATTTTCAGAAATTCAACAGGTAAATTAACCGACTTGGAAAAAAAATTCTGATCTAGAAGTGTGTTAGCAAACCACAGCACAAATTGTTCTTCAGTAAAATTTCATATAATCACTCCCAAAGTTGACAGTTACAAATCCAAGCTATAAAATACCTTTCTTTATCCAAAAATATGTTAGAAATATGGGGTTTAGGAAGATCAATATGCATTATTGTATAAAAAATAAAATAAAAAGAAAATTAAGAAAAGCAAAGAACAAGAAGGAGAAAAATTACTCATGAGAAGCGTAATCCAGACGAGTCCTACCAAAACACAAAATACCACAAAAAACAAGTCCAATGGGACTCAAAACAGAATTATATGCTACAGTACCTTCTCTAATATCAGTGACGACCTTTGAACATTCCCAATAAGAGAGATGATTGATCTGTGCTGAAGGAGATTTACAACTGCAATTTTTTCAAGTTCTTCCACAACATGGTCAAGCTCCTATTCAAAGAAGATGAAACACCAAATAAGGAAATAAATTCACAGTTAAAGCATGAAGCAAAAGTCAAACCTCAGCACTATACCCAATGCTGGAAAGATTGTAAGCATAAGGTGTGCATGGTGTATTTGATGAAGTTTAGGGTCTCATGTTATCACACTCTTTACATACAGTACCAACATGTGCACCCATTAAAGGAGTCCATGCATTCAATGAGATCATCTGTGTGGTGTGGGGGATGAAAAACAGAAAAGTAATAAATCTAACAATACAATAAGCACAATATCGTACACTTACCTGCTGAATCAGTTCTCTGCTCCAGAGCTTTGATGGATCCAATGTCAAGGAAATACTAACTTCACTTGTAGCTACAACATCTACAGATATGCCCAAATCTTCAAAGATTGAGAATACCTACCATGCACATCATTAAAGCTTAGAAAAGCAATGAAGGCCACCACAGGACAAAATGCACTATATATATCAGATAGCTCATTTACCTTGGCAAGGAAACCAAATTGACCAAGCATGTGAGTGCTTACAATATCCAACATGGTCACATTCCGTTTCACGACAATGCTAGTTAGTACTGCCTGGAATTGGAATTGTTCATAATTTAAGCTGTTTAAAGTTTCCTATAAAATAATCAGTTTCATTTCTGCAGAGTTTCATGCTACAAACCTTACTCATATCTCTTGATCTGGTGATGAGTGTACCTGGAGCCTTAGGATTGTAAGAATTCTTAACCCTGACAGGAATATCACCTTCTCTTGCTGGCCTCATGGACTGTGGATGCAGGACCTGTAAAAGCACAACAACAATGCATCTAGCAAACTCATTTTATTTATCACCCAATGGAATCTATCAAGCAACTTCCAATTTTGTCAAATTCTGCCAACCAGCAAGTATTTGGGATGCATTATGGATTTACAAACATGTCAACTATACCAAATTGGTATAATAAAAAATACTATTACTAAAAAACAATGTCCAATTAATACACATTAATGTGTGTTTGGAAGGGAAAAAATTGGGTACACACCTAACCTTTGACACAGTACACAAAGTGGTTACCTCCAGACTTGAACCCATAACCTCAAAAATGCTATTACTATAAATAAATATTTGAGAAATTAGAGGAATAATTAAATGCTCAGTGAGAGAGATTTCATAGCTACTAGCTAGCACTTCGTAAAACACAATGTAATTGCCCAGTCTGACTCGTTATCGGCAATCAAAAGTCTACAGTTTATATGGTCAAAAAAAGGAAACCAGATTTTTATTGCCAGTAAAGAACTATGGTCAAGTTAGGAGCAGACTTCCACAGTTATTAAATTTTATTAAAGTTGCATAAAATACAACCAGATGTAGATTAAGAGAGCAGGAATGAATAATGCTGAGGATATATTTTGAACTAAAACTTGATGGCTGTTTCCAGATAATTGGCATCTAGTTTTTTCTTATTCCTTAGACATTTTTTCTCTTGTTTTCTCTGGTTAAGTTTATTCCTCATACTTTGGGTGAGAACTTGGACAATTAAATCAAATTATCAAGCCGGAACCATATTCGGAACGCCCCTAACAAGAAGATTCAGCTGAAAACTCAGCCAGTGTGATGAGTTCAGAACAGGCCAAACATGAAAAATAACCTAACATAAAAATAAAACATTGCGTGCAGGAGCAAATTACAAGAAGAGCCTGTGCCAGAAAATTGTATACCAGCAATGATGTTTTCTGATAGTCCAATAAAAGGTATAAGCCATTAAATGATTACCTGAGCACCAAAATATGCAAGCTCTGCTGCCTCTTCAAATGTTAGATGTGGCACAGGTTCTGCGAGTGGATATATATTAGGATCACATGTCAAAACACCATCAACATCCTTCCACACCTGAAAATGTTTGAAAAATAGGCTCTTATTTGTCAAGAAACATCGTACTATGGATATTCTAGAATCTGAAAGAAATTTTCATACAACTTGGGCTCACAAGAAAACACTTTCACACACTGTTCCATACATGTTCATATGCTCACATACTAGTTAATTATGTTCATGTACTTTTGACATATATTTAGTGTAAACACTGACCTGAATTTCTTGCAACCCAAGTGCTTTACCAATGGTTGTGGCTGTCAAATCACTGCCACCCCTACCCAATGTAGTCACTGCACAAGATCTCCAGCCCTGCAATCATAATGGTTATTGAATATCATTACTGCAATCCCACAAATGGACAAGTCTCAGGCAGATAATGACTCCTTCAAAGTAGAAAACTATAATGGAATTGGAGGCAGGAGGACCTTTCCAAGGTAGCCAGTAACAATAGGAATTGCAGGATCACTAATCCAATCACTGTGTAACCTCTTTGCAACAGCTGGATAAGTTGCTTCCAGAATATCCGCATTTGTGAAGTCATCTGTTGTTATGAAACCAATATCAAATGCATCATACTGCAAAATGATAGTGTCATAATTAGTCATGATCATAGAAATCATTAACAAGGCACTTAAAAGTACAGCAGACATTTCAACCAGCAGGAAAAGCAATAGAAAAATGTCAATATTACATGTGTTAAATAATACTGAAATTATTTAACCAATTATCTAAAAGTTTAGCAGAAGGAAGTAACTAGAAATGACAGCCTTCCAATAGAGTTTGTTACCAAAAAGAATAGCTTTCAAGGATGGTTCATTATAGACGTTTCATTGAGGTAAGACTATTGCCTTTGCTGCCAATATGGCTTTCATTAAACAAACAAGAAGTAATCATCAGTGTCTTGCCTTTGTTGCTTACCAAAAAGCATAGCAAACAGACAATTAATCACAAAAGATTTAGGTATTCTTCACGTTGAAAGATTGAATGCAGCAGCTTCAGATGTAACATGTTATGCATAATAGATTGATACTATGGTATCAAGAAGATCGAGCCTGCTCAGACAATGACATACATGCACAAGCGAAATCCCAATAGACAAATCTACAACATAATTCTTCATTGGAACTCAAGAAATCAATAAACATGCAAGGAGAAGAAACAGATTCAAATGCAACACAATTTCCAGTTGTAAAAACCAATCACAATATAAAAAACATGCATAGCCATTTCCATTTTTATATCACACATAATCTTTTCCCTTTTGGTTTAACTAAACCTGTCTCGTATAAGGACAAGCAAAAATTGTCAATTAATACCAGGCTTATATATAAGTCTACCTCAAATTTAATATAAGGGGATTAAGCAAGTACTAAAACATCGCTCAAAAAAATAATAATAATAATAATAAAGTAAGAGATATTGAAGGGACTTCACATCCTAAATCAAAAAATCATAGAGTTTGACCACAATTTAACATAGTACTAAAATCATAGGCCTAGCAGCATTGTTCAGTACAGAATTGCTTCATTATTTCATTGGCCATTGAAGAATACAGATTTTCAAAAACCAGAGAGTCCTAGATAATGATTAGAAGACAAATACCTGGCGAGCTTTAACACCAATTTTATTTAAATATGCAGCAAAAATTCTTGTTGACATGCACTCCCCAAATGAGACTAAGTAGTCTTTTGTGCGTAAAGTCAACTCTTTGACTTGAGCAATTGCCTTCAGAAGTTGATCCAATTCTTCTAGGAGTGCTATAAAATATTTTCACAAACCAAACATACATAAGCATACATGAATGTCATCTAAGCAAGCATGTGGACCAGGAACAAAATTTATTTTATAGCCAGTAAATAGATATTGGGCAAATCAAAAGTCATCATTAAAATGGAAAAAGTTAGTATTTAATAGAATTGACATTAGGTTATTAATGTCATCTTACTTTTATAAATGGCTATACCTCAGTGCACTTGTTATAGTGGTGAGATCTATTATTGCAGAACCAGCAGAAGAAATCAATAAAGCTGGCATATTCATCCGTTCCTTGAAGAATAGCTCCCCAAACAAAAATTTGAACCACTTGTTTGGTAATCATTTTGTTTTCAGTTTATATTTACAAAAATTTTAAAAACTATTGTAAAAACTTGTTTGGTAAATTTTTTAGTTTATAAATAATTGGTCTCAGTTTGTAAATTTGATAAAAAATTGTAAACTCAAAAAATGAGTTTACGTTGGTTTTTAAACTCAAAAAACACGGAGCTACAGTAAATCAAACCATACTCTCTCTCTTCCTCTCTCTCTCCGCAGTTCTTCTCCCCCTCCCTTTCTCACCACCACTTCCCCTCACCCTCTGATGCTCTACCGCCACGGCCTCTCTCTCTCTCTCTCTCTCTCTCTCCATTAACGCCAACACCACTACAACTCTAATACCACCGTCAACCGCATCTTCGCCATCGACTACACTGTCGTCGGTCGCTCTCTTCTCCTATGCCTCCCTCTCTCTCTCTCTCTCTCTCTATTCTAAACACCCACCGCACCACCTCTCTCTCTTCAGATCTGGACTCTACCGCCTCAAATCTGGACTCCGTCGTCGCTTCAAATCTCTCATCCTCCATGCTCGACTCCACCACAAACGAATGATGGATCTTAGAGCTCTGAAAGCCACAGCTCTATATCCATTACTACAGTTCCGAATCCATCACTGCAGCTCCAGATTCGTTGCTCTTCTAAGGCTTTGATGGTGTCGGAGTCTAATCAAGAAGAGATGAGGATGAGAACGACGGAGGACAAGGCGGTCTGTGGTGGAACCGGGCGTGACTGGTCCGGTTCAACAAAGAGATGACTTTTTTGAACTTAGAAAGAGTGAAATCAATTGGGTTTGTGTTGCTATTGTTGGTGTTTTGATCTTGCATTAGATCTCTTATGTATGTATACACCATTGTTGATTTTTTGATCTCTAATGTATGATCCCATTGCCATAAATAACAAAAAATAAATATAAATATTTTAGGCCTTAACAAACATGTTTTTTAGTTTATGTTTTTAAAAATTTTCAAATATTTTGTCCAAATCAAACGCTTTTGTAGCTTATGTTTTTCTAAAAATAAACAAAAATGAGTTAATAAAATTTGTGTAAACATAAACAAAAAATGTAAAAGTTACCAAACGCTACCTAACATTATTATGAAAGTAGTTTTGAATTACTATCAAGCAAGAACCTATTCTCAACTGCTAACACATCAACAATTGAATTTTGGAATACTATTTGTGCACTTTAATTTTCCCAAAGGTGCAGTGACTGAAATGTTCTCCAAAGAAAAGTTATGGAATCTCTCCAGAGCTTGTAAGTGGTGACATTGGATTAATGAGAAGTTAGTATATTTTAGTTTTTTTAGAAGAGAGAAAGTAGAAATATCAATGACTATAGAACTCAAAAGAACTCATATCAACAAAGAACAGCTAATTTTTTATTGGAAAGTGGGAACTTACTTGAAACAGTGGACTTGTCAATACCTAGCTCATCCATAGTCCTAAAAATGCAAATTATGTCCAATAAGAACATTTCTACAATATAAAATACAACTGTGATTTTGGTCATCCAGATGGGGGAGTGGGAGGGGGAGTTGAAAACGAAAACATACCAACCTGAGATGCAATTCTTTCACACAGCTCAACTCATCAATATCAGAGACATTGGAAATGCCACAACTGACGGCCTTTTCTCCAGCCTGTTACACACATACAAATATCAGTTGGCATCTTTTTCAGATGATAAGGGGAAAAAAAGAAGAATAAAACATGAATGTGTATACCAGTAAAAGTTTGTTAGTTGTCTTTCCCATAGCTGAAAGAACTATCACAGGCTTTTCTTCTGGGAATTTAAGAATAAGGTCAGCAACCTCTCTCATCCTGTCAGCTGAGGCCACCGATGATCCACCAAACTTCATGACGCATGTCAGCTCATTCAAGGCCCCATCACAAATTTGATTTTTGGTTTTGTTCCTCTTAAGTACATCAACAATTCTTTCCTCACAACTCACTCTTAAAACTCTCCAACTACGACAATTCTGTACGATTCTACAACGTAATCCAGAAGCAGAAGCCACAGATGTAGCAAAATGAAGATGCTTCTGGGATGACAGAAGTTGGCAATCCAAATGTCTCCTTGAAAAAGCAGGTTGAGGAGTTTGGACTCCAAACAAATGCATTGCAATTTCCATTCCTTAATTGACTAAAAAAAAATGTCACTAAACAATTCTATCAAAGAGCTAATGAGTTTCTCAAATAAATCAAAGGAAGTTATTTCGACAAATAAGAGAAGTTGGGGTTTGCAATCAAAACACACAGTGAGAGCTCCAAACGCATCACCTGCGACAGAAATATTGATAGATCTAATCAAGGAACAATTTATTTAATTATTAAATGCCACGCACTTGCAAATATTTTTCTGTTCATCTGCCAAATGACCTGACCATAACAATGGCTTGATTGAATTAATTTAAAAGGAACACCAAATAAATTTATAAACTAACAGAACAAATTACGATTATATGCTGTTTGGTCGCAGAGAAAACGAGCAAAAATACAGTGTTTGAAAATGTTTCATGTAGAGCTCTAATTAACAAAATATTCGCTACAAATAAATAAATAAATATATCTATATATATATATATATGTTAATGATAGCGACGGTTAGATAGGGGATATTCCTTCCTTTATTAGGATCTCAATAAACAACAAATGAAAATGTGAGATTGGAGATTTCAATCTCATTTCCTTTGCTGCATTTTCTTGCGAAGCAAAGAAGGAATGTAAAGGTACCTTCTTGAGAGGAGGCGCTTAAAACACAGAGAAGAGAGGTCTAGGGTTTTCTTGTAGTATCTTCCTCGATTCCTCAAAGTCTCTCTCTCTCTCTCTCTCGTTCTCTCGCTGTGGTCCGTTTTACAGCGAGCGAGCTATGGAGCTCTGCAGAAAATGTGGGTCACAGCGGCCGGCGGCGCCCTCCGAATCATAAGGGAAATGCTATGGTGCATCTCTCACAAAATGTATGCCTGCGTTTGGTTATGTTTTGTAAATGTGATTTGAGAGTATGAGTTTTATTTTGAGTTTGTGTGTTGTAGAATTATGATTTGAGTGTAGAAAATTTGTTTGGTAAAGAGTTTTGAAAATAGTTTTGGAAAAGAGATTTGATTTGAGTGGGGAATTATTGATGTGACATTTGATATGTAATACAAAAATTTACAACTCGTAACTAAATATACAACTCAAAATTATTTTAAAACACATAAAAAATTTTAAAAAATTCAGAAAATATTTTTCCCGAGTATGTAAATCAATTGCCAAAAAAAAAAAAAATCTGGAATTCAGGGGACATCCGGGTGGACTTCCTCAGGCAAAATTTTGACAAAAAACGCGGTCTGTGCATCAGAATTCTCTGCAGAGAGTGTGGAAAATTGATTTCAAAACCATAGTCAAACATTATACTCAAACACACGTGTAGAAAATTAATTACAAATCACAACCAAACAGAGCCTATAATTTTACTACAAAAATTTATATTATTACAATAAAATGTGTACATGCGCTATAAATTAACATAATTAAATATATTATAATTAAAATTTCGTTTATCAATTATATATTTTAATTAAAAAATTATTATAAATTTTTACATTATTCTCTATTTTTTATACATCATTCATAAAAGATTAAAAAAATTAAAATAATTTGCTTACAAACGACGCCTAAATGTCTAATTTTTACAATATTATCTATTATATAATTAATTTTATAAAATTTTATAGTAAAATTATACATTTTATATTTTAATATTAAGTTTAGATGAATTTATATTAATCTTTTCATCATATTTGTTCTACTATTTCATCTATAATTTTTGTTTTAGTTACATGATTCCCGTTACCCATATATATTACTAATATTATCATAATATGTTAGCAATGTAATAATTTGTTAATATACTCAATATTTACACTTTAATCGCAATATTATTCTTGATATGTGTATTTACTTATACTTTTATTAAGGCGTATTTAGGATGTGTTAAATAATTTTTTTTTAAGTTTAAAAGTTATAAAATATGTATTTATTTTCAGTTTAAAAAAATTAAATATTACATCAATTTTTTTTAATATATTAACTTTTCAAACATATTAATTTTTTTTTAACATATTAAAAAAATAAAAATAAATAAAACTATTCAAAGAAAAAGACATATGCCAATAATGTTTAATACAGTAACATTTTTTAGTGCTTAAAACTGAATTAATTAAGTGATAATCAATAAAGTCTATTTGATAATCATAATTAATATCACTTAAAAATTTAAGCGTTTTTTAAAATATAGGCTAAAACTTAAGAAAATTTTAAATCATATAAACCTTACTTAATTCTGACTGAATTAATAAATATTAAATATCAATATCGATATATGTTATTATAAACTTATTACCATCACCGCTACTACTAGTACCACTACCGCCGCCGCCATCGTTACCACAACCACCACCATCATGTCACTATCACTGCTACCATTATTACCACCACCACTATGTCATCACTACCGCCACCGCCACCACCATCACTATTATCACCACCTTCATCACCATTATTATTATTGTTACGAACATCACCATCATTTTACTACTACCATATATTATCGCTACCACCACCACCGCCACCACCACCACCATTATGCCACTCCGCCACCGCCACCGCCACCACCATTATGCCACTCCTCTACCACCACCACCACCATCATAATATAAAAATTAAAATATATAATTTAAAAATAATAAATTTCTAGTTTTATGTTATACATATCAAACAATTTATTTTTAATTTAGCACTTAAATTTTTATTAAATAGTTTTTCAACTTAAAAATTTCAAAATTTAGTTTTTAATACTTAATTTTCAATTTCTAATTTTATCAAACACTACCTACCTCTTCTAATTATTAATTAATTCATCTAAGTGGTGCCAATGTAATACTTTTTATACATTATAAATTTCTATCATTTTGGGTATTTTTATCACTAATGTTTGTGTTTTTTTAACATGTTTGAATTTTGAATTTGTTTTATCATTTTCCTAATCTAACATAAAAATAAATAAATTATACTTCATTTTCGTATCATATAATTTATTTGTTTGTTTTGTAATACTCCATTTAATTTGCTACGTTCATGATGAATCCAACGACATGTGGTCGGTCCGGTGTGACGCGGTTCTCGTAGATTGATTGTCCCTTCATTTTTAACTTTTGTGACGTGAATTTATGTGGGGCTTGTAGAAATTTTATTTTAAAATTATTAAAAATATTAATATGTAATTAAGATTAATTTTATTTACAACTCTTATCACACACCATCATTTACCATCATTCCTGACATAAATTTGAGATACAACGGTATTGGAAAACACCCAAAAAAATTACTGGTATGTTTGGTTTGGTTTGGTTTCGAGGGAGAGTAGTTTTTAAAAATTATTTTGGGGAGAGAATTTAGAAATTTTTTTAATTTGTTTGATTGTGTATTTTGAAAGTAGTTTTGGAGTTTGTAATATTTGATATTTTGTTATAATTGAGTAGATGTGTGTGAGATAAAAAGTGATTGAAAATAAAAGAAAAGAGAGAAAATGTGATCAATTGATAGGTTAGAGAAAGAAAGTAATTTTAAAAATTATTTTGAAAAATTTACAAATCAAACAAATTTTTTTAAATTTTTTTTTCAAAATCACTCTAGAAATTTAAACCAAACATACTCTATATATTTTATTTATTTTTTTATAAAAAATGGTAATGATTTTTTTATAAAATTATATAAATTAAAAAAAATACCAAATAAATAAATCACAAACACCCACAAAGTGTGGGTCCCAGACTTTTGTGTAGGTGGGGTGGGAAAGCACGAGGCAAGCAGGGAACGACAACCGACAAAAGACCAACGACTAATCAGACCGCAATACAAATTGGTTACATTAACCTGGGGTGCTGCTGTCACAGCAGCAATTTGCTTGCAAGATTTTTTTCGAGTCTTTTTTTATAATTTAAATTATTCATATTGTGAAATTTGGTAAATAGATTATTCACGTAAAAAATTAAATTAATTGAAAATCTATAACTTTATAAAAAGAGTACATTTGTTTTTAAAAAAATAAATAGTTAACATTATCTCGATAATTTTTTAAAACAATTTGAATATGATCATAGGGTTATGGATTTCTGATTAACTTGATTTTTTGTATAAATGATATACTCGACAAACCTTACAATATGAACGATGTAGATCATCGAAAAAGATTCGGAAAAAGTCCCCACAAACTCACAGCAGATCGCTGCTATAACTTAGTCACAACGGCAGCCCTAGGTCTGATGTCTGACTAATACCGCACTTGGATACTATTACTAGGGGTGGAGAAACGTCGGGAGCGGACAGGATGGTTTTGGGCAATCAGGCACTCTATGGTAAACGTTTTTGTGTCTGTTCGATTCTAATATCAAGTTTTTATGTCTTTTCTAGTCTGTTTTAAAAAATAATTATAAATTTTAAGTCTACTTATCAAGTTATCTATTAAAAAAAATTAAATTATTTTATAATCACGTATTATATTTCTTAAATAAATTAAGGGTTAATTACATTTTTACCCCCTAAACTATGCGTGTTTTGTCTATTTAATCCCTTAACTATTGATTGTGTTTCTATAGTGTCTAAACTTTAAGAAAGTATGTCTGTCAAGTCCAATTTGTGTCTATCGTCCAAATCATTAACGGAATAGCGTTAGTAAAGGGCAAAAGGGACATTTTACAGACAAATAAAACTGGAGGGAATGTTCCCGCTTAGTCCTCTGATATATACCCACATATATATACAAGAACAGCCATGTCTACGGAAAAAACACAAAAAACAAAAAACAGAGCATAAAGAACACAAAGAAGAGAGAGAGGAAGAGCAATGTACCGGATGGATGCAATGCATTGCTCATGTAACAAAGCTACTGTGATGAAGACATCTTGGACAAACTTCAACCCGGGAAGATGATTCTTATGCTACGAAAGATATGGGCTTAATGGGAGAGGATGTAGATTTTTCCAGTGGTTTGATGTACCTATGTGTGACTGGTCAAAGCAAGTTCTACTAGGACTCCTATGAAGGATTACTAAGATAGAGGATAAAATATCAAAGATGAAAAGGAAAGAGAAGATACTCTGGGTTTGTTTGGTTGTGTCTTGGCTTATCACCTTAGTATTGTTGTTGTAGAAGAAGATGTTGATGGCTGGCAGGTTGTGTAGGGCGTAGTAAGGTTTGTGTGAGTGGAATGAAAATGGTTGATTATTTCCTATGTAATATATTTGTTAAGGTTGTTGGATATGTAATGAATGGAAGGTTTCGTATGGAAAATTTGTGTGCTCAAATCTTCTATAATGGTTAATTGTGTTTACCAACAAAAAAAACAAAACAAAAAAAAATAAAATAACAAATCAACCGCCCTCTCTCCATTTAAAGAAAAACATCATCAACATTTCCATTCATAAAAGTTTTAAGTTCATTTTCATTACAAAGACAAAAACACAATCCCACATTACTAAATAGTTGACATGAAGTTCATTGCAAACACCAAAAACAATCCCACATTACTACTGTGTTCTCCATCTCTTCTTGGATGTGCCTCCCTTGGTTGGTGCTGCCCTTTTCAGTCTTGATGCTTGAGTGATAGAGCTTGACTTGCAAAAGTTGCAGCAGCAGGTGGTGTTGGTCTTATAGGCATTAGAGCTTGACTTACAAAAGTTGCAGCAGCAGGTGGTAGCCTCATTAGCATTGGCTCTTGACTTGCAAAAGCTACAGTAGCAAGTGGTGTCTTCCTTGGCATTGGCCCTTAACTTACAAAGGTTGCAGCAGCAACAGGTGGAGGCCCAATGATAGAGCACATTGGAGGCCTGACATCACTTTCTCCTGTTGTTGTATTGTCCTGTTACAAAGCCCAAGATGTATCATAGTTAGTGATCACCAATTAAATGAAAACAAACAA